TCCCGCGATGGTAAACCTCTGATGGGGCTGCAGGGCGCGGAAAACGCTCCACACTCTAAGGGCGAGATGGCACGTAAATAGACGGCACTGCTGGAAGTTTGTTACGGGCGTGTCGTCCGGAAGAAGTTGTTCCGAGACGGTCTCTGTGGCCCTTCGCCCAGATTCACTTACGGACGGGAACGCCTTTGCCGTCAATGATGTGCGTAGTGAGGGCTGAGGGATATCAATCTCCATCTGCAAGTAGGGGTTTTCGAGCAGGTTAATAGTGGGGTGTTAGACACTTATAAATAAGACAGAGGGATGAGAATATAAGTGTATTGCCTGTCAAGTAACTGTGATAAACAAATGCAGGTAAGCAGTGCGGATATAGTGCAGTCGGTGAAAAGTTGTTTAGTTATCTGCTGTGGGGGTTAAAGGGACATTTGCGTATGGCAAAGGGCATAGCTTTACAATCGACCGAGTGAGTATGCCAGTTTTGGTGCATACGTCAACTACGCGAATATGTCTCTCTGGACCGGGATGGGTCGTTTCGATGCGTCCAAGACGCCACTCAGTGGGCGGCAACGTATCATCTATAATGAGGACGTATTCTCCAAATTTCGGTGAATCTTTAGTGTCTTTTCATCTATAACGTTGCTGAAGATCTTTGAGATAATCTTCCTTCCAACGGCGGCTGAGGAGGAGGAGAGACAAATTGCTATGATCTACTTCTCCTTAGGAAATGGCCAGGGGTGAGGGCCGTGAATTCGGTTGGCTCTTGGGAGAGACCGGAGATGGGACGAGAATTTAATACCGCTTCGATCCTAACTAAAAGAGTGGGGAATTCTTCAAATGTGAATTTGTGTGCTCCGGCCGTTCGTTTGAGATGTAGCTTGAAGCTTTTGACGGCGGATTCCCATAATCCGCCCATGTGGGGGCTGCCAGGGGGATAAATCTCCAAGCAATGCCTTGGGGAGAGTACTGTTTGATGATGTCTTGCGACTTCTTGCAGGAAACTACAGAATTACTTCTCTGTTGCTCTTTTGGCTGTAATGAAAGTAGTACCATTGCCGCTCATCATTCTTGCTGGATAACCTCGACGCCCAACAAAACGGGCAAACTCAAGGTGAACCGCCTTTGCTGTGAAACACACAAATACGGCCACGTAGCCTTTCACAATGGAGGACCTTAGCATGGAGGCTTTTACTTCAAAAGGCCCAGCAAAATCTATACCGGTGGTGGTGAAAGGCGGAACGTAAGTGCAACGCCGCCATGATTTGAAAGTGGGTTTGATGCTTGTGGGCGGAGCAAATCGGGGAACTCCCGGCAAGTTGTCATCGCTGATACATGGAAACCAAAAGTGAAAAGGGAACCAGTTCAGAGAAAATGAAACTCATGATACGGCTGATTGAATTCATATATATATCTTCCAACCAAGTTTCTCTATTCTACCACAATTAGGGGATTACCTTAAACTCGTTATGTCTTAAACTGTGTAAAACTCGTTAGTTTACGACGCTTTTATGGGAACGCCCCTATGTGAAAAGGTGTAAATAGGTGCGTCTAGTGACTGTATGAGAGATCTACCAGGATTTTGTGAAGCAAGTTTTGTTTAGTATTTGCATAACATCCCGCCGTCTTGTCTCTACCACTCTTGGCTAAAATACAGTTAAAAATGCCGAAAATTATCAGAAAACCTAAGTCAAATATAGTTAGTGAAAATCAATTATTTTTTCGCTTATTATTTATGTCATTTCTTTTCATTATTTTATAAAACATTTTGATATAAAAATTTCGGCCCCTCGTCAACACTGAAGTTTACGAGGTCGTTTGCGCATCAAATTTGCCTCGTAATTTTGAAAATGAAATGAAATTGAGCTCCATACAAATTTTGACAGTTCATTTACGAGGCTCGTAAATTTACGAGCTTTACGATGCTTTTACGAGTTTAAGGGAAGACCCCTATTATAAAACACCCTTTAACAACACACATGCAAGCCTGAACAGTTTATTTGCCGAGTTTAGTTGGGAGCATCAGCTTTCAGGCACTAATGTCGCCGAGTGCTATGATGCTTTCAGGTCAGTGGTGTATAATACATGCTTATTCAATATTCCTACTATTAAAACTAAGCCCTACAAACTTCCCTAGTATACTAAAGGGTTAAAAAAAGTTAAACACCTTAGAAACAAGTATTATAAGAAGTTTAAACTAAGTAATTAACCAGGTTTTTTATGAAAAATATCGCCAGTATCTGAAGGAATTTAACTGCTTGGATAAATTCCGGGCTATAAACTTTAAATTTTTGAATATATCAATATCAAGTTTTTCAAAGACCCTTTGATCGGTTTTGTGCCAGAAAAGTGTTATTTTATACAAAAATCTTGTTTTGCTGACGCTGTTTGTTTTTTCCACATTTTCGTCTACTGCCGCCTTCGACGCTTCTACTGTTCTATCGCAGTTACGCTCTACACCGATTTGTGTTTTATTGCTTCTCCCGCGCTATTGTTTGAACTTTGTACTAAGAGCAGATCATGTCAACTCGCGCCAGAACAAATCGCCTCACAGCCACAACCTTGGGTGCTAGTCCAACAACGCATCACAATTTCAGTAAAGGTGAGAGCTCGCCTAATGCTGCGTGGGTTTCGCAATTGGAGGCGAGAATAGTGAGTGCAGTGAAAGAATCAACGAGGGAGTCAGGTGAGCGCATACTACTACATATAGGGGAGCTGACGGCTGAGCTTACAAATTTAAAGCAAAGCGTAAAATCTCTTGAAGAAAGAGTAGTGGCAGCTGAACGCGACTGTGCTGAAATAGCGAAGTGGTGCAATGACGTTCATACTCTTAAGGCGGAGGTGTGCGCAAGTGAATCTCTTAGCGCTGAAGTGTGCTCACTGCGAACCCAGCTTGATCGCTACGAACGAGCTGAAGTCGCCGCTAATGCATGTCTACACGGTATACCAGCGCAAAGTGGAGAGGATCTAACGGGCCTACTGAAGAATATCTGCACCTCAATCAATAGTACGGTGCCAACAGTCAAGAGTATTTTTCGAATGAGGAAAACTAAATAGTCAAGTTTAGCTCTCCTCACGAAAAGGGAGTGTTTCTCAAGTCGATTGCACTTCATAATCGCAGCAAAGATAAATTATGCCTAAGGCATGCAGGGTTTGACTCCAACATGCCAATTTATATCAACGAATGCTTGACTAAAGCAAGTCATGCGTTGCTGGAAACTGCGCTGCGACTGAAGAAACATAAGAAAATATCATCAACTATTACCTGGCGCGGGCAAATTTTTTATAAAGCGCTCTCCTAGCGATACACCCGTTCGTATGCCAACTATGCAAACGCTGAGAAATTTAGTTAGAGCCGACGAACAAACTTTTCTCTTTCGCAGCAATACTTAGATTATTGGTTTTTCGTTCTCTTTTTTTTATATTTCTGATTTTTCTAAAATACTACAACAACTTAAATGTAAATATCTCCTTTGTTAGGTTATCTAAAGATGTTCATGTTACTTATTAACTTTAAATTTTATTTAAATTACACCTTTGACTAAGTACACTAATACNTTAAATTTTATTTAAATGACACCTTTGACTAAGTACACTAATAAAGGGAATATTCAGAGTACAAGTCACTGCGCAATGTTACGGGTGCTGAGCAAACGAAGGAACGGACTGAAAATCTGCCATATAAATTCACAGAGCCTGAGCAGGAAAATCGATGAGTTCAGGTATTACTTTGAGAAATCTCTCATTGATATCGTGTGCGTATCAGAGACATGGTTCACCTCACATATGTGCGACGAACTCTTCGCAGTCAGGGTACAAACTCTACAGACACGATAGGCAGGGGCATGTAGCGATCTTTGTGAATGAGTCATTGAAATGCTTTGTGAAATCCAAATCTAGTGTGGATGTTTGTGTTGAATATCTGTTTGTCGAAATTGTCTGTAATAATCATAAAGTTCTTGTTGGTACTGTGTATCGTCCAAATAAAAATGTTGACTGTACCCCGCTGGCAAATGCCATTGAGAAATTATCACTATCTTATGAAGATATTATTGTTGCCGGTGACTTCAACTGCAATTTGCTGGTCGAACACTATGTAACTGACGTTATGAACACCTTTGGTCTTTTTACAGTGAATATAATAACTCCGACTCATTTCACAAATAGGTACGAGTCTCTCATTGGTCTCTTTTACACAAGTAACTTAAGACGAATTTTGCTATATGACCAATTATCCATGCCCTCCTTCTCCCGACATGACTTAATTTTCCTGACGTTCGACCTGTGTGTGACTACTACTGAAGAAAAACAACACTTTAGCTTTAGAGATTTTAATAACATAGACTATGTTAAACTTAACAGTGACGTAAATAAAATTGATTGGCACGGTGTAAAGAAATTGACATCTACTGATGACCAAATGCAATATTTACAGCAGAATTTATTAAAACTATTTAACACGCATGTTCCCATCAAGACAAAGATTAGGCGAGTCTATGAAAACATTTGGTTTTTTTCGGAAACTAAAAAAGCTATCGAGAATCGGAATAAAATGTATGATCGTTGGAAAAGATAAAGAACGATGGATTTTCACAATCAGTTTACAGTTTTAAAGAAGGCGGTTGTTAAAATGGGTAGAAGTGCCAAAGCCAAGTATTTTGAAAATAATTTTGCAAAGGCAATCGGTAGCAAACAAACCTGACAAAAAATCTAAACTGTCGGTCTTGTTAAGAGTAAAGTGAACAGTTTTCAAGCTTCGGAAGATCTTGATTCTTTAAATAAAAAATTTGTAAATATTTCGGCACCCCGAGTCACAAACACTAACATTAATCTACCTTGTTCTCTACCAAATGATATAAGTTTTAGTTTTTCGTGTGTAGATCAGTCCGACGTCCTTGAATGTTTTCTCTCAATTAAGTCTAATGCTGTTGGGACAGATGGTATAACCCTGTTGTTCTAAAAGCTGTTTTACCCGTTCTACTTCCGTATATTACTCACTGTTTTAACACAATACTAACCACATCCGTTTTCCCAAAATGTTGGAAAACCGTTAAAATCTTGCCGATTCCTAAAGCCGACGGTAAACTCAGACCAATCGCAATTTTACCCTATCTTTCGAAGGTATTTTAGTTAGTTTTGCATAAGCAGTTAAACGCGTTTCTTTCTAAGAACTCCTTTTTACATAAACGGCAATCCGGGTTCTGAAAAGGACATAACTGTATAACTGCGCTGGCTGACGTTATTGAAGATATTCGCGAATCCATCGACGAGGAAAAAGTCACATTCCTTACCCTACTTGACCACTCAAAGGCATTCGATTCCGTTAACCACAGTATTTTATTGGCAAAGCTCGCTAGTTTTTTGGACTTTCCCCTACTTCTTTAAAGTTAATTGCCTCTTACTTAGGATATAGATCGCAAGTGGTCTGTAGTGGGCCATTGACATCATCTCAATTAATACTAAGCAGGGGTGTTCGGCAAGGATCCATTCTTGGTCCCCTTCTTTTTTCTTTGTATATTAATGATCTACCGGCTATCGTTACCGATATGAGCTCTCACCTGTGTGCTGATGATGTTCAGGTTTATTGTTCTTGCAAGCTCAGTGATATATACGACCGTATTGTTAAAATCAACCATAACTTATGCCCTATTAACAAATGGGCATCCGACAATGCACTAACTCTTAACCCTAAGAAGTCAGAAGTGCTTGCCATCCCCAGAAAGCCCCTTGATACTTCGACCCTTCCAAAAATCATGCTTGATGGCATGTGTATAAATTATGTACAGACGGCCAAAAATCTAGGAATTATCTTCAACAAAACATTAACTTGGGATAGTCACATAAATGTAGTCGTAGGAAAACTATACGGAATGCTTCGAGCGCTCTGGTCTACGCAACACTTCATCCCTCAACGAATTCGTATTTTAATCGTTAAGACATATCTTATGCCCTCTTTATTGTATAGTTGCGAAATTTTCGCTAATTGTGATTATGCGTGCTTAATGTGCTGTTTAACGATATTACTCGTTATGCGTTCGGAATAAAANTGGGATAGTCACATAAATGTAGTCGTAGGAAAACTATACGGAATGCTTCGAGCGCTCTGGTCTACGCAACACTTCATCCCTCAACGAATTCGTATTTTAATCGTTAAGACATATCTTATGCCCTCTTTATTGTATAGTTGCGAAATTTTCGCTAATTGTGATTATGCGTGCTTAATGTGCTGTTTAACAATATTACTCGTTATGCGTTCGGAATAAAAGCAAGAGATCACATTTCCCATCTTGCTGAGTCAATCTATGCCATGTCCCTGGATAAGCTCCTTCAGTTCAGATCCCTTATTTATGGCTCACTATTATAAAATCACATAACGCTGCACAATGGTTCGGATAGCAGATCTAGCTGGACGAAAGTCAAATTTTTTTTGTTTTTAAAATACTTAATGGTACTTGGAATACAGTCCTGACAATACATTGAAATATTAATTGCATTTATTAAAGCATTAACATATGAAAACAAACAAAAAAAGGTAAGTCAACGCCGCCTATTTGAGAACTCTATTTTAAAAGCTGAAATTTAACTTAAAAGATTGCTAATTGCACTCACAGATATTTGCATAATTGCAGATTGACTTTATAAACAAAAAATTACACTTATTCCGCTATAGATTCAGAGGTCATAACGCAATTTATGTCCACATTGGTATAAGCAAATTTATTCTGAAAAATCGTCGTTTTGATTAATTAAAAAAATAAATTAAAGAGTAGGAAAAGTAAAGGCCGCCGAAGGCCGTCATAAAACCACTAACATATTAATCTTTACACCTTCGCAAATGCAGAGGGTAAGTTCGATAACCAGGTCTAACCAATTGGCTTANATTGGTATATTTGTACAGATTTGTAAATTTTTATATTGGGCTATTGGTGAAAACAAAAATGGGGAAATTTTTTTGTCAAAAGATTGGTTGGGATGTTCTACTGAAAAATTTCAATAAATAAATTTTTGTGGTTGTATTTAAATTTAAAATATTTGCAGAGGCTTACAAGCACATCTCGAAGCTTATACGGTGTTCGCATGAGGCGATTTTACAGTCAACTTTTAGTTGAAAGCAACAATAGCCTGGTGTGAACGGTCTTTCAACTAATCGCTTCCAATGAAATTGGAATTTTATTCAACTAAAATTGCCTGGAAAACCGTATTATTGAAACAAATAGCGCAACATAATTGGTATTGGAATCAAAGACGCAGCTAGGTAACTGACGGAAGCCGTCATGCGCCGCAATTGTTGTTACTCTGACGGAGTTCACTCAGTGTTGATATTTTACGTACAATTGTACTTTTTATACCTTTCATGAGCATGAAATGCTGAAATGCTTTGGTCCGATGTTTGTAAGTACCTGAATAAGAAGAGATAGACCCCTTAAAATGTATACTTAAATGATCAGATCGTCGAGCTGAGTCGATTTAGCCATGTCCGTCTGTCTGTCTGTCTGTCCGTCTGTTTGTATGCAATCTAGACTCTCAGTTTTCGAGATATCCGGATGAAATTTGGTATTTGGGTGTATTTTTATAATGTAATCATTTGTCGGAACCGGAAGAAACGGACCACTATAACATATAGCTCCCATACAACTGATTGTTCAGATATGCGATTTTTCGTTATAACTTCTCCATTTATGCAGCTAGGAACATGAAATTTTGCAATACTTCCACCCATTATCAACAGAAAACTTACAAAGATCGGGTCACTATAACCTATAGCTGCCATACAACTGATTGTTCAGATATAAGATTTTTCGTTATAACTCCTCCATTTAAGCAGCTAGGAACATGAAATTTGGCACTGTTGTCACTTATTATCAAAATAATACTTTCAGTGAAAATGGCGAAGATTGGATCGCTATAACCTATAGCCTCCATACAACTGATTGTTCAGATTCGAGATTCTTTGTTATAACTTCTCCATATATGCAGCTAGAAACATGGAATTTCGCAATATTTTCACTAATTACCAACAGAAAGATCGGGTCACTGTAACCTATTTATATCCTCCATACAACTGATTGTTCAGATAAGGAGTTTTATTGTAAAAGTCATTTATTTGGACGGGTACTATTTAGTACGTTGCCGGTCTATTTCGAGGTATTGCGTCCACTTTTCATAAAGCGGCGTCAATCCTCTTTCGTTTAGGGGGGTATCGCCCGATATCTAATTTAGCATAATTTCTGTTATTAAAAATCCCACGGTTTCTGTTAGTTGGGTTATATTCCACTTCAAACTGCTCAGTTTGCCTAAGAAAATTCCGTTTTTTCCCCCTTTTTCTAACGGTTCNGGGGGGGGGGGGGGGTGCAACTTTTCGTAAAGTGGGGGCTGTCCCCTTTCGAATAGGGGGGTTTAGGGGGCCGGTTTTTCAATAGTCAGATAAACCATGAATAAATACTACCTCGGCAGATAAGTCGAAATGGCGTTGTTCAATAGTCAGTTAAATGTTATTCGTAGAATAATTCGCCTAACTGAGGAATAAAGTTATCCGGCGATTCGTTTGCCAGATAAAGGCGGGATAGCAAATTAATAAAAACAAGTAAGAGCAGCGATGTCTTCGGCTATGCCGAAGGCTTCATACCTTTCATGAACATCTGAATTTAACTTTAACAGATTACTGCATTTGAAAAAAATTTATATATTTACAGAATACATAGATAGAGGAGATACATATATGAAAAACCATATCTAAACAATCAGAGGTATAGAAGATATACCTTATATAGCACCAATCTAAGTGATTTTCACTGCCGTGTGATCGGTATGTAAACCGGTAACAAAATTTAATGGGTTTAGACTCCTACATAAAGGAGATATATCGTAATAACTGGTATCTGAACAATCAGAGGTATAAGAGATAAAGCTTATACAGCATAGATTTTGACGATTCTCTCAGTAGACTTTGTATTATTATTTATAGAAAAACTTACGAAATTTATCTGTTTTAGCAGTCCAAATAAAGGACTTTTACAATAAAACTCCATATCTGAACAATCAGTTGTATGGAGGATATAAATAGGTTACAGTGACCCGCTCTTTGTTTATTTTACTGAAACTTTTTGTTGGTAATTAGTGAAAATATTGCGAAATTCCATGTTTCTAGCTGCATATATGGAGGAGTTATAACAAAGAATCTCGAATCTGAACAATCAGTTGTATGGAGGCTATAGGTTATGGCGACCCAATCATCGCCATTTTCACTGAAAGTATTATCTTGATAATAAGTGACAACAGTGCCAAATTTCATGTTCCTAGCTGCTTAAATGGAGGAGTTATAACGAAAAATCTTATATCTGAACAATCAGTTGTATGAGAGCTATAGGTTATAGGGACCCGATCTTCGTAATTTTCACTCTAAGTTTTCTGTTGATAGTGGGTGGAAGTATTGCAAAATTTCATGTTCCTAGCTGCATAAATGGAGAAGTTATAACGAAAAATCTCATATCTGAACAATCAGTTGTATGGGGGCTATATGTCCGTTTCTTCCGGTTTCGACAAATGATTAATACATTATAAAAATACACCCAAATACCAAATTTCATCCGGATATCTCGAAAACTGAGAGACTAGATTGCATACAAACAGACGGACAGACAGACAGACAGACGGACATGGCTAAATCGACTCAGCTCGACGTTCTGATCATTTAAGTATACATTTTAATGGATCTATCTCTTCATATTCAGGTACTTACAAACATCGGACCAAAGTTATAATACCATTTCATGCTCATGAAAGGTATAAAAATTTGACGTTTCTATAGTTGGGAAGTAATTAAAATAATTTATTTGCGCTTTTCTTTTGTAGAAGTAACCTGTTCTTTAAGCTTTATTATGCAGTTAAATGATATAATTGAAGATTGTCTTCTTGAAGAGGATCAAGAGGTATATGAAAATGCGAGGAAAGAAGGAGTAGTGAAACTAAGACTAAATCATTTTGAAGATTGGGAATGCAACGAGTTCTTTCGAAGATTGAGGCTTACGAAATACTAGTACTGACAGGATTGTCTTCATTAATTGAAAATCAATTCAAATATGCCACGGATAGGTAAGTTATTTTTGCGATCCTTTCATTTACGAATAGTGTCGTTGGTATTAGTTTGAGGCTGGTAAAATAAGGGGACGTGGCGCTTCCCACCTTTCCAACTTGGAAGGACAAAGACTAAAGAATTTATTGACCGGTTTCTTTTCTTTCTGGACTCCTAAAAGCCTCAAGAAAATCTCATGAAAAGAGGGGAAAAATCTGTTCATAAATAATACTGCGGCAAGAGAAAGGACAATTCTGTTGATTGAGGGTTATGATCCTGAGTGTGTTCGTTGACCGGAGGTCGCAGCCCCCTTGGAATATTCATTTCCACAAGAAATGTTATATACCCTTGGGGCGGAGACTTTTTATCAGCGGAATCAGCGATTTTTTCCTTATTTTCAAGAGACATCCCTCTCTATAGCTCTATAGATGGAGGGCAATAAGAAGCAGGCCCATAAATTCTTTAGGCTTTACCCTTTCAAGTTGGAAAGGTGGTAGGTGCCACGACTTATTAATTTTTTTACCACCCTCAAACCAACCAAACTATTCGATTTCGTGTAAAATGTATAACCATTTCCAGAAAGCGATTCCGGTCATGCAGCAGCTTCTAATATGCTTACGTTTCTATGCAACTGGAAGTTTTTATATAACTATCGGGGACTTTTCGAGTTTTCATGAATC